CTGTTGATGATCAGTCGGCCCGGATCCCGGCCACTTGGATGATATGATATCGACTATCGCTGCAGTCGGTTCGTAACGATAAATGACAGAATGACAAGGTAATAGGAGCCGTCGCTTGAATAACATTTAATCTACCATACCTGCTTCAGGCGGACACTACAGGAACGACTTTGGGCCCTTGGCTTCCGCAGGCCCCAGCAGTTCATCCGCGATGCCGCGGCCTGCCGCCCTTCCGGAGAAGATGCAGCCTCCCAGGAACGTCCCCTCCAAGCTGTTGTAGCCGTGGACGCCGCCACCGCCGAAGCCGGCCGCCTCTCCCGCCGCGTACAGGCCTGGAAACTTCTCCCCGTTGGCCTTCATGACGTTGCTCTCCAGGTTCGTCTCGATGCCGCCGAGCGTCTTCCTCGTCAGCAGGTTCATCCGCACGGCGATCAGCGGGCCGTGCTTCGTGTCCAACAGCTTGTGCGGCGGCGCGATGCGGCTCCTGGCGTCGGCCCAATATGTCCGCCCGTTGTTGATGAGCATCGCCTGCGCGTCCTTGGAGTAGGCGTTGTCGAACTGCCCGTCACGCAGCTCGATCGTCTCCCGGATGTCCTCCAGCTCCAGCACCGGCCCGCCGCGCTCGCGCTGCAGCTCGTTCATGCCCTGCACCAGGTCCGCGAGGTTGTCCCGCACGACAAAGTCCTTGCCGTACTTTTGGAAGTTCTGCACCGGCACCGTGCCCTTCTTGCCGAAGACGCGCGTGAGGAGCTGCCACACGCTCTTCCCCGTCACGTCGGGGTTCTGCTCGGACCCGGAGAGCGCGAACTCGCGGGCGATGATGCTCTGGTCTAGGATGAACCACGTGTAGTCGTACCCCGTGCTGCAGATGTGCTTCAGCGTGCCCAGCGTGTCGGTGCCAGGGAAGAAGAAGGGGGGCAGCCGCTTGCCCGTCGCGTCGAGCCACAACGAGCTGGGCGCGGGGAGCACGCGGATGCCGTGGTTCGGCCAGATGGGGTCCCAGTTCTGCAGACCCTCGGTGTAGTGCCACATGCGGTCGCGGTTGATGACGTTGGCGCCGGCGGCCTCGGAGATGCCAATCATGCGGCCGTCGACGTGGGCGGGAACGCCGACGACGAAGTTCTCGGGGACTTTGGGGCCCAGGCGGTCGACGGGCCACGCGGCCTTGACGGCTTCGACGTTGCCGCCGATGCCGCCGGAGGTGACGGCAACGGCCGACCCGAAGATCTCAAAGTCGCCGACGACGTCGCGGTTGGACTTGACGCCGCGGGGCGAGTCGTCGGGCGCGAGGACCTTGCCGCGGACGCCGACGGCGCGGCCCGCCTCGTCGGTGATGATCTCGTCGACGCGGTGGCGGAAGCGGAACTGGACGACGCCGTTCTCGGCGGCGCGCGTCACGGGTTCCGCGAACACCCTCACGACCTCGGGCCCAGTGCCCCAGGTGACGTGGAACCGCGGCACCGAGTTGCCGTGGCCCTCGGCCATGCCGGCGCCGCGTTCGGCCCACCCGACGTTGAACAGGAACCCCATTCCCCTGGCCTTGACGTAGTCCTCCATCTCGTCGGTGGCGAAGTTCACAAACGCCTCGGCCCAGCGGCGCGGCCATGTGTCCTCCCTCTCGCGGTCGAACTGCGCCGAGCCGAACCAGTCGCGCATCGCGAGCTCCCTGGAGTCCTTGATGCCCATCCTCCTCTGCTCCTTCGAGTCCACGCAGAATATTCCGCCCAGCGACCAGAACGCCTGCCCGCCGAGGTTCTTCTCGTTCTCCTGGTCGATGATGATGGTCGGCACGCCGCGCTCCGAGAGCTCGAACGCCGCCACCAGGCCGGCCAGCCCGCCGCCGACGATGATGACGGGCCGCTCGAGGAGCTCCTTCTTCCTTTCGGCGTTCATGGCTGCGAACGTCGGCCCGGACGACGAGGGGGAGCCGCGGGAGCGCTTGGCGGGACTGCGGAGGAGGATGTGTCGTATGATGAGCTTCAGTATCCAGGCCGAGGCGCCGACACCAGCGATCGCGGCAAGGGTCTGGAGGGGCGTCTGGGGCAGAGGGACAAGGTCGTGCAGGTGGTAATGCTTATGTGGCGGCATGGTCGTATGTAGCTCTCCACGGCGTCTTGATGGCGCTGTCTGGCCCTACTTTGTATCTATCTGGCTGACCGGGCCCAAGGCGGGGTGGACAAGGATGCCGCGTGATATAATGTTTGCTATCTTTCTTTTCTCTACGGCTGGCCGGACGAATTGCCAGATTCTTCCAGCCTCGGAGATTGGATTGAGCTGCCACAGCCGAAGGGGGAGGACGTCTGCTTATTGCACAATAGCGGCAAGGCCACGTTCAAGGGCGGGGAAGCGATAATTAGTTTCCCTCCCTCTCTTGGAGACCTCGTGTTCACGGGGCCCCGGGTGGAAGAGGGGTTGGGGCGCAGGGGGGGGAAAGGTGTGCCGCAGGACTATCTGCGACGCTATATGTTCCGTAGCATGGAATAGATAAGCTTGAGAACCGGTTGTCTGTCCCATTTATGTAGGAGTACTAGATCAACATAGACGTAGTCCGGCCCTCGATGTGAGTTGGATAAACCACAAGCTAACACTGGCGTCAGACTTATATTACGGAAGCGAAGCTGACATGTAAAGCCATGGCTACAGCAGAGAAACGCATCCGGAAGACAGTTCACAAACGGCGCACTTGGCACATGGCAGCTAACGGACCGGGCAAGCTGCAGGGGACTCGGTGACTCGGGTCAAGTTTAGGGTTTCCGTCTTCTCCATCTTGATTTGCTCCGTCATTGGACAAGGTAACATTGATTGTCCGAGGACCCCGAGCGGGCGCGCATCAGTCGAACATGTGCCTCGGCTCATCGACCTGAGCGTTCACCTTGCATGTTCTCATCGATACCGAAACCCATTGTCATGGAGGAATCATATCTGTTCTGTTCATTGGCTCGTCCCCGTTAGTCTCGATTCCTATCTGTCTATCCATCCGTAAAGCAAGCCGCGGCCAATCGGCGGCGTCATGGAATCCGAACGACGACTTTGCCAAAGTGGCCGCCGCTGTATAGGTATTGGTACGCCTTGTCGGCCTCTTTGAAGTCGAACACGCGGTCGACAACCGGCTCGATGCCCTTGTCCTCGTAGAACTCAACCATCTCCTCGAACCTCTCCCGCGGACCGTTGATGATGCCCTTGAGCGTCACCGTCTTGCGCAGCGCCAGCAGGTTCACGTTGGTCCGGTCCCCTTCCGCGTCCACCTTGCCCGACAGGTACCCGATGCACGCAATCGTGCCACCGAATCCGATGGCCTCGAAGGATTGGCGCAGCGTCTTGGCGCCGCCCGTCTCTAGGATTATGTCGGCGCCCTCGCCCTGGGTGACCTCGTTGACCTTTTCGTCCCAGTTGGGGTTGGTGCGGTAATTGACCGTGTGGTCTGCGCCCAGCGCCTTCGCCTTCTCCAGCTTCTTGTCCGACGATGAGGTGATGATGACTGCCAAGACGGGTGGGTTAGTTAGCCAGTCTTCTTTTCAGTCTTTGCGCGCGCGCGCATTGTCCAGCAATGCATCTTCACCCACCCGTCGCGCCGGCCGCCTTTGCAATCTGCAGCCCCGAAATCGCGACGCCGCCGGTGCCCTGGCAGACGACGACCTCTCCCTTGCCGCCGGGCTGACCCAGCGGCCGGAACTGGTTGATCGACATCCAGGCCGTCACCGCCGCGATCGGGAGACACGCCGCCTGCTCGTCGCTCAAGTGCTTCGGCGCCTTGACCAGCCCCTCGGCAGGGAACACGCGGTAGGGCTGCAGCACGCCCTCCAGCGGGAAACCGAGTCCGGACTTCATGTCCGCCGCCTTGATCTGGCCCCTGATGTGCGACTGGTTGAAGATGGAGACGACGCGGTCGCCCGTCTTCCACCTGTCGACGCCGTCGCCCACGGCCTCGACCGAACCGCACATGTCCGATGCCGGCACCAGCGGCTCCGCCTCTCCCGGGTTGATGGTCTTGTGGTGGTTGTACAGGCCCATGGCCACCTCCGTGTCGCGGTAGTTGAGCGAGACGGCCTTGATCTTGACGAGCACCTCGCCAGGCCCGGGTTGCGGGATGGGCGCCGAGGCGAGGAAGAGCTTGTCGAGCCCGTCCTGGCGCGTCTGCCAGCGCTGCATTTCGTTGTTGCCCATGGTGTATGTGAAGCTGTTCGTGCTCTTGGTGTGGAAATCAGGGGTCTGCCGAACGTGTCGTGAATGTTACTGCAAGGAACAAGCCCTCCCAGCTCAACCCCTCCCGTTCGAAAACGACACCCCCTCGATTGGATCCGAGTTCCTCAGTAATGACGCAAGCATTGGAAGCCAGGTTCGGCCGGTCCCCGCAAAGAGGTGGACCAGGCGGGGTGCAATCGCGGCGCGGGCATTGAGTTCGGTTTATTGCCGGCCTCGGCGTCTTCGCGCTCCATGGCGTGTGTGGAAGATAATAACATCCACTGGTGTGCACCTCAGCCTTTCCGCACTACCACGGCCCGGCTGTTCATGATATGGAAAGTGTTGACGGTGCTAGGGACAGTGCCTGGATTCTCGATCATGGAACACTCGTACGCGTCACTCGGCTCCATTGTTGCGATTAAGCAGGGCTTGAACTGCCCTCTGAACTAGCGCACTTGGTCCATTGCCATTTGCCGGGAGGTGGTTTATTAGATTCTGAACAATCAGATACTTGCTGGCCTGTTGTTACTGATTCCCATTGCCATGCAACAAAATCAAAAGTCCACCCGATAAGTCCCCAGTGTATAGCGATGCCAGTAGCTTGCTGCAAGTGCCTGGTTGGAAATATGCCCGTCGCATCTGCTGTCGTATTGCTTCCTACTCTCCGGAGGATCGGGGCGAGTCGGCAGATGTGGTTCTGTCACGCATCGGGCGACGCCACACACATAAGACAGCCGGCCTGGCCCTTCACATGATCTTGAAGATTCCCCCCGGGGCGAGTCATCTTCTGGACGGGCCCATGCATGAGGAAGGTCGTGTCACACGTCGGAGCGCTGTGCAAGGTGCAAAGTGCAAGTTAGACACAATGTCAAGAACAGCAGGGCCCGTACGTACGAGTAGAACCAGCACTCTATAGCTGTCTCGTAATGGGCAGAGAGTGTGCCAAGTCTCTGCTTGATCGGAACAATCTGAGGTCGGTTTCGGTAGTAGCACCACCGGGAGCATTCGCCGGAGAGGTTGACGCCAGAGCACAGAGTGAGATCGCAGATTCGCTCCTCCGCGAGTGCTCGCATCCTGTCGGTCCCCGCGCTGGCAATCGCGGCTTCATGGTCTTCGTGGGGGATGATACCCTCCATGCCCGCGCCTCCGAGGGATGCGCTTGGGTTGGAGGGGCCGGGTGTCGCCGCAGCAGCCGCAGTTAGGGCGAGAGTCAAGAGCTGATAGCCGAGCATTGTAAAAGTCCAGTTGGTTGACTCGCGTTGTTAAAGGAGCAGCATGAATCGAATTCGAGATTTACGCAAAGCAGCAGAAACGTCTTTCAAATTTATATGTCAGACTGGCGGATAGCCGGCCCCTGATACGAAGCGTTTACTCTCCAGAATAAAGAGAACAGCATGCCCGAGCTCCCACTTGCAGTAGGGCAAACGTTGGATGACCTATGGTACATCCAGCTTGGTATCAAGGCAATGCTTTGCCAGTCGACCGGCATACACACCAAACATCTTTTGACAACTAAGCAAGCGATGTGGACCACTATCAATGTCAGCAAACACCCTCGGTTTTGCCATATCAAAGAGGCGCTCTCGGACTTTCGTTGCCCGTTGTGGATTGTCTGAATAGATTAGAGGTCGGGAAACAATCTCGCCTTTCTTTGAAGCCAGCAGTTTGGCCTGGGCTCATGATTCCAGTAAACAAATGTGGCCAATACTGGATATCCACTTCCACCGTCATTGCATGGTTGTATCACTTTTGGTGGATGGTTAGTAGCATCTATGCTGTACGCCTCTGCCCTTTCAATTGCAGGTTATTAATGAGTCTCCTTGCATGAGAAATAATATCAATGACATGATGGATAACTTGGCGTCTACTTGTTGGCGAAGGGCCATTTGCGATAGACGCTTGCAGTTAGAGGTCAGACTTAATGCCCGGGTCGGCCGCAAATTGACAATGGAGACTAAGGCATAGTTTGTACAAATCGAGGGTTTGGTACTTGGTACAAACACGATACTCTACTTCCAGGGGTTGGAAGATTTGTACGACGATTGCCCAAGACTCATCCTGCAAACAAGCTTCTATTGGTTCAATCATCAGGGAACCTTTCATGCACATTCTCGTGATTTCGCCTTGATGCAAACATAGAGTTCACAGAGAGGAATTCGATATGACGTGACAACAGTGTTAGAACTGGAGGCGGGTGTTCGGCATGTAACAGTAGGACATACACACTAATGTGCTGTGAATCTATGCGAAGCATTCACGTTCGCGTTATATCTACTGGCACGAAGGACAGTTTTCATCCACAAATGGTGAAGGTCTATGGACAAAAATACAGCGCAAGAGGGTGTGTTCCTTTAGTTCTATATTGGTACGCAAAGCACCGAGCTGTCCGGCTTCACACGCACATAAATCGAGCTTTTGTTGGAACTCGGCTCCTCCAAGTACGGCTGGAAACAGCCCGTTCTGGCTAAACTTCAAGATCAAGCTCGGTTCCTCAAGCAGCTATTATGGCCGCCAAAGAGGGCGGTGTTGTGGCATTTGTCCGTACAGGATCTAGCACTTCGCCAGCTTCTATCCAACAACTGACTCAGGGCCAGTGTCATTGTCTCAGTGAATGCGGATACGCCTACGGATCTAATGATGACCAGTACAGGGACGGTTGGCACAGAGTGGGTTTAAGCTTATCATGACGATCGTTGCCTACCTGATATTTCACCCTTGAGATGTGCAAATGTGTTAGACCGTCAATATTATAAGCAAGCTACCCATATCCTAGTAATTCAGCACGTTCATACCGGCATCCCATGCTACCCCTGAACGACTTTAGCCTGCCTTTTCGGCCCCAATATGTCCGAGTCGCTTTGGTGCGCACACGAAACCTTGAGCTAGTCATCCAAGTGCAATTCAGCCAGCCAAGCAGAGAGCCGCATGCAATGGTTTCGCGCTCAAGGTTTCAATTCTCCATCTATGATCCACGTCTTGGATTCGACTGTCCCGTGCTTGGCAACAGTCTATTCATGACCAGTATGTCAAGACCGTTAATCGAGGCTTGGCTTCGGGGAAACGAGTATACCAAACTGCCCCTACACGCGGCAATGGACGTTCGTCTCATCTATTAAGCTTTCGCTTGGCTGGGGTGATGTGGAACGGGGTGACACCCGATTAAAGGGACCGGCGTTCTGTTTTCCCCCAAGGAGTACACCGCTGTCCGCACTGTTTCAAGTATACAAGCAGACCTGACTTAGTGACATTAAACAGGATAACCTGACTTGGTGACATTGAACAGGAGATTTGTCGCCGACGGAAATCTCCGGACTGGAAAAAGGGGCCGGGGCATTAGTTATCTTGAAAAGTCTAAAAGCAATGGAGTATATAATGAGTGAGAAAGAATCGTCCGCGACGGAAAGGGGAACTAGGAGGGATTCTGGAACAGACTTGGCTCTACGACGTTTCCATTCGCTTCGCGAATCTGTTTGTAGACCGGTTCCGTCGTTCCTCGAGCGCCTTTTTTTCGTTCTACAATTCATTCAGTCTCTTCGCCCAAAATGCGGCAGGGGCACGTCTTGCTTTTGTGCTCGCCGCGACGAACATTCTCGCTCCCGGTGTGCAGGCCATCGACACGCTCGTGGATCTTGGATACGCCCAGTTCCAGGGAGCCGAGACCGATGCTCAGCTGGGAGTGACGACTTGGAAGGGCATCCAGTTCGCCGCTCCGCCTGTCGGAGCTCTCCGGTTTGCCGCACCGGCCGACCCTGTGCAGTCCGGCTTGGTCAACGCCACCGTTCACGGTCCCATCTGCCCTCCCCAGCAGCCCAGCGACTACACCGTGACGGGCAAACACTCCCGCTTCACCGTCGACGAAGACTGCCTTTATCTGAGCGTCACGGCCCCTTCCAAGGCACAGGCCGACTCCAAGCTTCCTGTCCTCTTTTTTCTCCAAGGTGGAGGGTTCGTCTCCAACTCGAACGCAAACTATGACGCCAGCGAGATTGCCTCGGACGGCAACGTTGTTGTTGTGCAGGTCAACTACCGCGTTGGCATGTACGGGTTCTTGCAGAGTAAGGAGGTTCGCGCCGGTGGCAGCCTTAACGCTGGTGTCAGAGACATGATCAAGGCTCTCGAATGGGTCCAGACCAACATTGCAAAGTTTGGCGGTAACCCTGAGCAGGTTGTCCTTGACGGCATCAGCGCTGGCGGCTCTGCTATTGGTTTGTTGATGACGGCCGACGTCGGTGGGAAGCAGCTCTTCGCCGGCGGCATCGCTGAGTCTGGTGGCTGGGCGACGATGCGAACGATGGACCAGGGTCAAAGCCAGTACGAGTGCCTCACCAAGGAGAAGGGCTGCTTCGATTCGACCGACTCGCTGTCTTGCCTGCGTGCTCTCGACCAGTCCGCCATCCGCTCTTCCACCTGCTGGTTCAACCCCGGCATTGACGGGGAGCTTTTCACCGACAGCATGGTCAACCTCTTCGAGCAGGGAAAATACACCAAGGTTCCCACCATATGGGGTTCTTGCGCTCAAGAGGGCACCTTGTACTCTGCCCCGCAGTCTACCAACTCTACCGCCGAGGCAAACAAGTACTTCCTTGGCGTAGATCCCTCCCTATCAAATGGGTCTCTTGCCATACTCGACGAGCTATACATCGACGTGCCTCAACCAGTTTTTCCCGACTCCGGAGTCAAATGGCGCCAGGCCGCTAACGCCATTGGCGACGTCGGCACCCACTGTGTCATCCGCAATATCCAGAACTACCTCGCCCGCGACAAGGTGCCCACTTACAACTATAAATACGATGTCCTGGACCCCAAGTCCGAGGCCGAGGGTGTCGGAGCTTACCACGTGGTGAACACGTACGCCTTCTGGGGCCCTAATCGTACCAACGGCGAGCCTCCCGCTTCGTACTTGGACAGTAACAAGCCAATCATCTCGCAGTTCCGCAAGTACTGGGTTTCTTTCATCCGCAACCTGGACCCCAATACCGATCGCGAGGAGGGCGCTCCTGAGTGGGACATCTTTACAGGTCCAAACGGCCGTGAGAGACTGTTCGTGCAAACCAATAACACCCGTATGGAGAGGATGAGTACTGCCCAGGCACTGCGTTGTGATGTCGTGAGACCATTCTCGGATAATTTGGGCAAACCGGTTGAAGACGGCGTCGTTACAGAGCTGGATGCGACTTTGGCAGCCGGCATCAACAGCACGAGCGAGGCCACGACGTTTAAGAGGAGACGCGTAAGATGAGTCTTTCGGTATTATTAGAACTTGCTAGCCGTTTTAGTACGGTGGCAACGAGAATATAACAAGATGTAATAGAAATAATCAGTTCTCAAAAAACATATGCGTGGCTTTCATACAGTCACCGTTCGTGGTCTTTGGGTGCACGCAAAGACCTTGATGTCTGACTGTTGCTCAAATATTCTCGCCTGGCTCTATAAAAACCGAGTCCGACCATGAGTTCAGCATTTCCCTATGACAGAATTAGACGCGTCCACTAAAGGCGGTGTTAGAATGGAAAGACTTACAAGAGCTGATTTGATTATCGTAATCACCGCCATAACCGACATCGGCAACACCAAGGTTGTACTTGTAACTGAGAGCGACACCACGATCATCCCCCTTTTCGCCGCAGCCAGTAAATCTATTTGGAAGTCATTAGCTCAGTGCGCTCTGATACATCGTTTCACAAGACTCACTTGTAAAACTGGCATTGGCCACCTGTATTTGTGCTTAGAGAGGACGTTTGGTTATCGTATTTGTCCAGAAAAGCCTGGGTGGTGTTGAAGCTAGAATAGCCCACTATTACAACTACTTATCAGTATCGTGAATTTCCCGGCGCGTTTCAGAGCCGTTCCGTGGGACCCCAGAATGCAGTTCTTACCGCATCGTCCGGGTGGTGCGCCGAAGGATATACAATCTCCTAAGAACCCGGCGTCGGGACACTGCAGAACGAAGATGTTATCGGGCGTTATCGGGGCTCGGTTCGGGTCGGGGTTGCCGTCCCCAGGTACAGCTTGGCGCTTCCGGGCGACATCACCAAGAATAATCCTTGGTGCCCGCATGAAGACGGCGTACGCCTCCGGGTGGCCTGATTGTACGTCTGGTGCAACTTTGATCAAGGCTTTAGGTGCAGGAAGAGCCATGGCCAGCTGGAGTACTAGTGAGGCCATGGTCATGGAAATGAAAGCTATTAGCTGCATGACGAGCGTATATATGGCGACTTGTGCTGAAGCATAT